AATTTCGGGGGTCCATCCTGTGCACTATGGGATGTTTAGCAGCATCCTTGGCCTCTCCCCCACTAGATGCCACTAGCAACCTCCCTCCAATTATGCAACCAAAAATGTTTCCAGACATTGCCAAATGTTTTCTGGGGGACAAAATCAACCCCGTATTTCGAACCACTGCTTGCTTGAGGTGTCTATGGGAAGCGCCGGGAAGGGAGGTTTCATGAGGCAGACCTGCTGGGGTGGGCTGCAGACAGGATTCTCAGAGAGTGGGAGTGTAGGGGAGGACACAGGGGGAGGCGTGTGTGTGTGTGTGTGTGTGTGTGTGTGTGTGTGTGTGTGTGTGTGTGTGTTGGGAGAGGAAAATGATGAACTAACTCTTCTTTTTCATAACTGCACTTGGTGCCAGGCTGTCCCTCATCCAAAGTAGATGAGCAACTCAGAATTAAATTGTACCCCTTACAGTTCCTTTTAGGAAAATGACAAGCACACAGAGACCATTTTGTTGTTTGTGTAACATTGGTTTTCAGGTGAGTTCAGTCTGGGTGACAGCTCTTTAAGCAGCCATTTCACAGCCTGTCAGTTTCTGGGTTGCCAGGGATGTTTTGACTTTTAAGTACTTGTGTGCAGCTATTTAACAAATCAATATGTGGTTCCAATATGGAGGATGCTGTCAATTGGAGCAGAGGGTCCGATAAAGGATGCAAATGCTTTCTTAGCTGGAGCCGCAGGGCTGATTTGGTCTGGTGTGTGTGCAAATGAGACCCCTAAAGAAAGTTGTAGATTTGCAGGGGTGGAACGGGAGAGCGCAGGTGTAGGCTCCAAAACCCTTCCATTCCCTGTAAATAGCAGCAAAAGAGGAATAAACGAATACCTATGATAAAGTCTTCATTTTATTCACTGCATATCTGAGGTACTGATAAGAAGGTACTAATTGGGGCTCCCCATTACCAGTGCACTCCAATATCTCCCAACATCAAGCAGGGAAACAAGCTGGTAGTGGATACTGTCGTGGTCGGTGCCTTGTCCAAATCTATCAGAGCCCTTCTACCGGCTCGGTGTGCTCAGCGCCCAGTTTCAATGAGCTTTTCTGCTCAGGATTATCCCCATGACCGTCGGCGCTCCCTTGGGCTGCTGGAGCTGCCTCACCTGTATGTAGACCCTAGGTATTTCGTGTCCCTGGGGAAGCCCGTAGCCACCGGAAGGCATAGGAAAGTCCATTTCCCTCGTCTCACGGTGAAATAAACTCTAGGTGTGCTTTCTGCTCCAGAGTTCCACCTTGGGATGATTATAAAGCTGTGACTTTTAGGCCTCCCCTGGTGGGGCAGCGGTTGAGCGCTGGGCTGCGAAGCTGCCCGCAGCCTCTGTAGCGCCGGTTCTGCAGCCCTGGTTCGTTCCCTTCCCTGCCGCCGGCGAGGGTCCCACCAAAAAAAAAAAAAAAAAAAAAAAAAAGCTGTGACTTTTCCTGAAATCCCAACCTTGCTTTTTTGCCCTCAAGCTTCTGGTCTCCCCGGGGAGTAACTTCCCCAGTAAATCATGTGCGTGGGAGTCCTCATCTCAGGGTCTGTTTCTGGGGCATCTGACCCAAGACATCAACATGCGAAGTCCATGATGAAGTGGAAAGTGAATTCCTCCGCTCACATGAGACATTCTGTAATCTGACCCTTTCCTAAAATTAGGTGTTCATTAGGTGTTTCTTGCTTAGTGGATAATTATTTTGGACTGGAGAAATGAGAAACAAATAGATCTCCGCCACCTACGTACTGCTCCCTCTGCATCTACACCCCACAGGGCCACAAAAGACCTCGGGGAGGGCAGTGGATCTCACTTAGCCAAGGGAAATAAGGAAGCTGGCTTTGCTCGTGTTTTAAATGAATTAGATCTTAGACACCCAAAGTTGTGCCTCTTGTGTTTTCCTACTTGAAAGACATCACCACACAGGATAGTGCTTCAGCAAAAACAGGTCTACGGTGAGGAATCTTGGCTCAAAGATATACTGGGATCAGGTCGCTGATACTGGGATTTGAGAGAGTCTCCATTTCATTGCAAAACAGATTGAGGAGGGCCTCCGCTGGTGGCGCAGGCGGTTGAGCGCCTCTGTGAAGCTGTCCCGCAGCCTCTGCAGTGCCGGTTCGAACCCAGGTGGCCGGCGAGGGTCCCACATGGCGTGGCAGACCTCTCCTGTCTCACCCGCTGCTCCCCTCAGCAGTGTATTTCCTCAGTCTGCCTGTTCTGCTCCCTGCTCTGTCTCTGGTGAATCCTCTCACCCTCCTGCGCATCTGGCCTGTACCCCAGTTCTTGTATGGATAAACAAATAAATCTTATAAAAAAAACATCAATGATACTTCACTATCTCATTTTAGGGCTTTCTACTTGTTTGGCAGTGTTTTCTCATACTTGTGAGATGACACATTCCCATTTTACAGGCAAGAAAGCTGAGGCTCAAAGAGGTTCTGCTACCTGCCTAAAGTCACACTTACAGTAAGTGGCAAGGCTGGGATCTGAGCCCACATTGGTCTGATGCTGATGACTATGTGCTTAACCATCCACCACAGTACAGTTTTGACACTGGCTCTCTTTTCTCTAAAGTGAGGGAAAGATTTGTCAACATTTGCACAGGCAGAACACTATTTCATCTGGGGAGGTTTATATAGATATTTTTCTTTTCCAAGAAGAATAAGTGAATGTGTAGGAAGCTGAAATCTATTAAATGAGCCTGACATAATGCAATACGAATAGTACGATATACAGTGAAGTTTTCTCTAAGTTTAGCATACTCGTCTTACAAGGTCAATATGATTAATGGTTTATGCACATGGTAGAAAATGATCATTTTCTTGGCAATCATTTGGAAAGCTCTGCATCTAATGTAATTTCACTCCTATATGGTATGTGAGAGGATTGTTCTGAAATTTCAATTCCCCCCACCAGCCTCTTTTTTGCTCTAGAACCATGGCCAGGAAGGTTGCAGAAGTACTCCTGTTTTAGCGCATTAATTCTCTCCAGGATTGAGAAATGTACTATTCCTGAATTCGAACAACTTTTTGCAAACCTCAGATGCAATATGAGAACACTTTTGGATGACAACCTTACATGAAAACAAATGACAATATAGCCTGTATTTGGACACAGGATATGTGTTCATATTTAAACTTAACCAGTGAAGGGACGTGGCAGATATCTTTTTGAAATTTTGAGATGCCTTTTTTCAACTACAGAGAACATAAAATTTTGAAAGTAGTTGCAAAAGAATGAATTTTTATTTTTCTTTAGAACTAAGTCCCAAGTTTAGAGAAAAACTCTCCTCTGTGGGCTTCCAATATTGTTTACCCTGAATAGAATATGCCTTCCTGTTTGATAGAAATCACATGAAAGCATTTTAATTGTGAAACAGCCCCAGGCAAGCAGTATTTAGAAAAATAAAATGCAAAGCATGGAATCACAAAACTGGAAGAGACCCTGTGAGAACATCTAGTCCTGCCCTGATTTTTCCAGGGCAACAAAAAAAATGGCTAACTCATCCTGTGCGGGTTATTTTCTATTTTGATAGGATTAATAAGTCTACATGTTCATCTTTAGTGTCCATTTCTCATGATATGTTTCAATTAATGGTGGAATATCTGAGTAATCACAAGAAATCCCCAGTTTGGAACAAGACACCTATCACATAAACAGGATTCAGTAGAACTTTTACTAGGAGGCATAAATGCATCAACAAATAAAAAACAAAGGCTGAATAATAGAACATTTATGATGGGAGTCTTACTGGTATAATTAAAAAATGGCAACGAAATCCCTCCTTGAAAGGGTGACTATTAGTTCCAGTTTGCTAAGAGCAGTCCTGTTATCCTGGTGTGATTATTAATGGTGCCCCCTAAAAAATAAATACCTAAATAAAAAAGTTAAACAGCGGCTCCTTTCATACCCCTTTTGAGAGGTCTTTTGTCTGGACTATATTTTACATTGTCACCTTACTTGAGAACAAGAGCCACACTATGGAATATGAAATGGAATGTGTTTGCAAGACATTGAACTTGAGGCAAAATGACAAGTACAAACTCCTTTCCAATAATTAGGAAACAAGCATATATATGCCATGGAATACCACAACTGAGCTATCAAAAGAGATGAACTCTTACCATTTGCAACAACATGGATGGAACTGGAGGGGATTATGTTAAGCAGAATAAGTCAAAAGGAGATCCTTTGGGGATCATTTCTATACTTTGTTACTAGAAAGGCAAATGTTGGATGGTTTCACTCATCTGTGGAATATAAGGATTCAAAACAAAGGACCAGACAAAACTGCACCAAAACAAACACCAAATCTGACTGCAGAATTGAGGCTAAATAGGGGAAGGATAGGGCAGAGAACAAATGGGGGAGGGGACCCAGTAAACCGAGGTGGAGAACTATGGGTGTTTTGGTGGAGGGGTGATGTGGTACATACATCTGAAGAGATGTGAACCTGTACCCCTAAATCACGTATGTATTATAAACCAATGTTACCTTAATTTAAAAAATGCTCTGGGGGGGGGAGGAGAGGAAGAATTAAATTCTTAGCAAAATCTAGAATGACAGTGTGCCCTGCAGTAGCCCAGATCTGTCTCATGCTTCAACAGTGAGGATAGAACAGACTAAAATCCTCCCTGGTAGCGTAGGGGTTAATTCTCAGCACTATCAAGCTACCCCCAGCCACTGGGCATGAGTTTGGTCCTGGTCCCCAGCCAGGGAGCTACCCACATGGCCTAGCAGACCTCTCCTGTGTCACCCGCTGCTCCCCTCAGCAGTGTATTTCAGTCAGTCTGCCTGTTCTGTTCCCCACTCTGTCTCTGGTGAATCCTCTCATCCCCCCACTCCTCTGGCCTGCACCCCAGTTCTTATATGCATAAATAAAAATATACCTTAAAAAAAAACCCTCCCAGCCTGACCTACTCTGCCCTGACCCCGCCCCCTTGAGTGTAGCAAGTTTTCAGCTCCTCCCCCTTCAATCACAACTCCCTGCACCATCTTCTCATTTATCCCTGCTTTCCCGCCCAGCTAACACCCGATTTTGTGGCGCGCTCCTCACTGCTGAGCAACCATGAGCACTCAGAGCTCCCAGGATTATTCCGTCAGCGTGGAGGCCGCAGTCAAGGGCCTGGTGAACCTGCATCTACGCGCATCCTGCTCCTACCTGTCCCTGGGCTTCTACTTCGAAGGCCTAAATACGGCGTTGGGAGGCCTGGGCTGCTTCTTCCGTGAGTTAGCTGAGGAGAAGTGCAAGGACTCCGAGCTCCTCCTGCAGATGCAAAAGCTGTGGGGTGCCCGCCACCTCTTCCAGAACCAGCGCAGCCTGACCCAAGGTGAGTGGAGTGGCAGCGTGGATGCCATGGAAGCCGCCCTGGCCCTGGAGAAGAACCTGAACCAGGCCCTTTTAGATCTGCACGCCCTGGGTTCTGCCCACGCAGACATCCCCCTCTGTGCCTTCCTGGAGCGCCACTTTCTGGAGAAGGAGCTTGATCTCCTCAAGAAGTTGGGCCACCACCTCACCAACCTCCGCAGGCTGGCCAGCCCCCAGGCTGATGTGGGCAACTATCTCTTCGAAAAGCTCACCCAAAAGCGCAAGTAGGCGCCTCCAACGACCTTTGAGGGATCTCTCTGCAGTCTCCAGGCCTCTGAATTTCTGTCTGAGCCTCTGTTTCCAGCCGCGAGGCATCGGCTAGTGCGCGGTACTTACGCAGCAAAGCGCTTTACTACCCTGCAGGCCGCCTCCACGCCGTCGGACCGGACCAAATGGAAACAAACACAGTTCTTTTTGCAGAGGGGGAGGAAAGCTAGGCGGAGAGGAATATAAGAAGCATGCAGACTAGCACGGAAGATTTCTAGTCGGCTTGATTCTCTTAAGTTTTTTTCTGAAGAAATTGTTTTTCCAACTTGTGGACATTGAGGATCTGATAAACTTTTCTCTGTCATGTTAGAAAATTGTCAACGATTGTAGGGGTTTAAGTTCTCGAAATAATTCCTGTGAAACCATTCTGGCTACTGGATTAGACTGTATTGTTCTAAAATTCACCATGGCTTTTGTCTAGCAGAGTGGAAAATTGAGTGAGTACCTTGAGCTTATCATATTGTCACCCCCCTCCACCCCCAAATTCGTGAAAAAATTGTTTTTTCTGATTTTTGACTTGGTGCGATTTCATCAGTGTCTATTGAATAGCAAAAAAAAAAAAAAAAAAAAAAAACTCTGAAATTCATCTTTGTGTCTCCCATTAGGTTGCTGTATCTTACACTGACCTCTGAAACCTCTGGAGAAATTTCTTTCTGGTCTTAGTGTTAAGAATAACAGTGCTTCACCTGGGTTATTGGTTTGTTTTGTTTTATGGATGCTGTAACCGATGTAACTAATGACATTTCCTTTTCTGATGGCCTGCTAGAAAGCTTAAAGCCAAGTGTATAATCCACCCAGAGTAAATTAGTTGGATTGTATAACCATTTTTTGATTAAGTTCCCCTGGTTCTTCTCTAACCAATTTCTTCATGTATTTTATGGATCCTTTTAAACCACCTTAAACTCTTTCTGGAATATAGTTGTATATTAATAGATAAATAAATGTTCAAAATGCAGATTAAAAATGGCTCTGGAGTTCATTTTAGTGGAAGGGAGGAGAACATTAAGGAAGCTCTAAGAGAGCCAAAGTGATTAGAATGGAGGAGGGTCAAATGGAGGTTAAATTCCAGAAGCCAAGAGAAAGAAGCAGTAAAATATGGCATTCTTTTTAAAATGTGTTCCATTTATCTGGTGAGTTGTTTTCTACTAAATCCACATATTTGTGTCTCACAAATAGCAATCTAATAATTGTGTATTATTTTCTTTGACTTTGAAAAACCAGGGTTATAACTTGTTCTCAAGCAACTGAAGTGGAGAAAAATCATTTTCCCATTGCAACTTTCCTTCCCAGAGCAGGAAAACTAAAGGTACACTATCATTTCTTCCACCTTACAAGGATTAGAGGCATATTTTATAATATTTTATAGAATATTTTATAGGCAGGGACTCCCTGGTGGCACAGGGGTTGAGCGCAGTGCTATGAAGCTGTCCGCAGCCTCTGCAGCACCAGTTCGATCCCCACTGGCCAGAGAGCAACCCACATGGCACGGCAGACCTCTCCTGACTCGCCCGCTGCTCCCCTCAGCAGTGTATTTCAGTCAATCTGCCTGTTCTGTTCCCAGCTCTGTCTCTGGTGAATCCTCTCACCCCCCACGCATCTGGCCTGTACCCCGGTTCTTGTATGCACGAATAAATAAATCTTTAAAAAATTTCAAAAAGAATATTTTATAGAGATTGAGAACTATATTGCTAATTTAAGGAGAAAACGTAAATCCCCTGCTCTCTTTTTTTTTTCTTTTTTTTGGTGAAAAACCAAACTTCAAAAAACCACTTTAACTCTGGCCTAACAGCACCAGGTACAGTATCTGAGCACAGACTCAGTACAAGGCTATGTGACCACCGACACACCCAGGCCCAGAAGGCCCCTGAGGTACTGAGGCCTCAGTACCTCCTGGCACTGAGCCAAGTTGGGGAAGGCGAGGCCTCACAGAGGGCTGGGGGAGGGGAGCATGGGCAAGCGTGGGGAAAGGAGCTATTTCTTGGCAGAGGAGATCTTCATGGCATTGTTCTGGGTGAACTTGAAGCCCTGCAGGGCATCTCTGAATAGTAAGCATGGACAGCATGAACTCAATGGTCTCCTGGAAGGTTGATGAGGACCAAGATGTGATTTGGTGGACTTGCTGAAAGAGGCTAGTTAGGTGGTATCTGTCCCGGCACACGCTGCTGCGGGGGCATGGCTCTCGGTGGGATCTGGCAGGGCACTAAGACAGGCGGTGGGATCATGCTTGGAGGTGGCACGTACCGTGGCTGGCCTGGTGTGCAATACAGGATGTGGGGTGCCAGGCCTCCAGACAGCACCCACCACCATGGCGGCCGCACCACCTTCCACGGCCTTCTTAGCGGCTAAGGTCTTCTGGCTCTTGGGCTTCCTTTTCTCCTGCTTATAGCCCCGCCCCACGAAAGTGCCCTTCATCTTGGCAATAGTATCTGAGTGGTTTTGGCGTACTGGGTGTGCATGGGCTTGTCGTAGGACGGGAACCCTGCACGGGGTGGGGCACAGGGTGTTGGTAGCACTGCTGACCTTTTTGAAGATGACAAAAGCCTGGCCCCGCATCTCCAGGCTCCGTGATCCCAGGATGTCCAGGATCTGGCCAAACTGGGAGAGAGGGCGTACAGGAACTTCTTCAGCTCATCCTTCTTGATCTTCTCATGAAGGTTGTTGATAAAAATCGTGCTGATGGGCCGGGTTTCAGGAACCGCTGCAGAGTGAGATGCTGAGGTCGCGCAGGGACTAGAAGGCGAGCACATCGCCTCGCCTCCTACCAGCCCCAGGAAGCTCTACTATCTCCCTGCTTTCATGTAAAGTCTTTTGATAATTAAAAGAAATTGTATACCGGAAAAAATATTTATAGGGAAAGGAGTTTAGCCCATTTGCTGGTAGCTGGCACTAAATAAGGAAGTGGTTAACAATGTTCATGTTTGCATTAAAACGTATTGCTGGACTTAAAATATATACTTAAAATAGAAATTATTTTCAAATTAGCTTGACTATAAACACTTAATTCTGAATGTGACAAAAATTCACCTCATGCTGCGCGCTCAATTGAAAGACTGTACTTTGAGGCAGATATTTTGGGAAGACGGATGCAGACATTTGTTTCCAAACAATGACCTGTTCATCAAACCATTAACTAGTGTCTTTTGATGTCAAGAATGGGGTTGTAGAAGAAAGTTTTTTTTTTTTTTTAGAAGAAAGTTTTATTTAAGTCTCCCAGATAAGCTGAAATGTTGTTTGGCCATCAAATCTTGAAAAAGAGCAACTTGCTGGGCAAACAATAAATGACTCAAAGACATATGGATAAAATATTACCTAGATTTTAAAAATGACTTAAGGTTTTGGACAAATTTATTTATGGGGGGGAAATGGGAATTTGATTACATTAAACTTCTAACATATTGTAAACAAATTCCACAGTAATTTCCTCTTTGGCTAAATTCTGTGTGTGTGTGTGTGTGTGTGTGTGCATGCGTGCATGTGTTCAGAGAATTACAATAAATGATTCTATAGGCTATGCCTAAAGTCCTTATACCAGCCTTTAAGGCATTCTGGCCTACTATGTCTAATCTGCCTTTTAAATCAAATTTTCTACTACTTCCCTATTGTTAGGAGTTTGGGGGTACCAATCATCGGCTCATCTTGCCTTTAATCTATGTTCAAATCAATTAGAACAGTGATTGAGCACTGAACTTTGGGCCAGAGTGTGTACAAATCCATTCTCTACTCTCTTTTTGGGCCAGTGTCTTCACCTTTCTTGGTCCCACTTACTATCTAAAAAATTGGACTAAGATCAAGTGTAAAAAACTGGACATGATCATAATAGAGATAACCTTACCCAATTCATAGATTTTAGGGAGACTTCAATGGGATAAACCATGGGAAGCCTTAGGTTATGACATGCTAAATGCACAACAAATGATAGCAATTTTTATCAACTGATTTCTATCCAAGCAAAAATTAGTAAAGAGCTATAATAGTAATATCTCAAGACAAACTCAGTTTCTGGAAAGTAGGTATCTTCAGATTCTAGAATCTTCCTCATCTATGATCATTCCTCCATCTAATTAGGCCCTGTGTGTGGAAGTGTAGTGTAGGTATTTGCTCATTTCTTGAATGTGATGTTCAGCGAGTAGGAAGAGGGTGGAGAGGAAATGAAGGAGAACCACTTTCCAGCCAAATAAGTGGAGCCACCTTTTTTTGGACCCTGAATTAATTGTTTTAATTACCACACTTGTCAAAAGCAGGCATGACAGCATTTTAACCTCTCAGGAAGGACAAGTCCCACAAAGGGGTCATTTCAGAGCTGAAGCTAATTAGCTCTTAGCCGAGTTCACAATCCTTGGGATTCTTCTCTGTCCCCTCTTTTCTCCCACAGTTCCCCCTCCTTCCACTCTGTGCTAGCCTTGGACGTGTCAACATGAGGGATCGGGGGCTAACTAGACACATCAAAACTGCAGGCATCACTAAGACCTTGAGCTCCTCCTTTGCTGAGGGCCTGTTTAAAGCTCTTGCATTTGGAGTACTATGTCGTTGATGCTTCCTCTCCAGAAGAATGTACAGTAGTAGAGGACTGCATTTTAACGATATTGAGAAGATGGAAACATTTCTAGTACATTCATGTCATGTCATTTGTCTCCATAAGCCATTTATCCACCTTGATGAATAATTTATTCTTCACAATAATACTGAAGTAGGCACTAATCCATGGGAGATGGGAGAGGGGTACACATTAGGAAAGAATTTTGCATGAATTGTAAGGTTTCAGCTGACTATAAACTCCCCAAGAAGCAGACATCCGCCTCAGGATTTTTAGCAATTCTGATGGCTAAATAAGGGATCAAAAGAAGAAGCAGAGAAAAATCTGCATTTCACCAGGAGGCCTCAAAGCTTCCCCTAACTGTGCAAGTTGTCAGGTCAAAATAGGAGAGATGTGGGTAGGGCAGCTATTCTGGGATTGGAAATCAAGAATATACTCCTGCTAAAAATCTATACTCTGAATCTAATGATGAGAAAACATCAGACAGATTAAAAATTAAGCGGCATTAAGAGACTTAGACAATTTATAAAATTTTATATGGACTGTGGATTGGATGATGGTATCCATTTCCTGATTTTGATAATTGCATGACAGGTAGGAGAATGTCCTTGCTTTTAGAAAACACACATGGAGATATTTAGGGGTAGGTAGCTAGGCGGTTTCTCTAACTTATAATTGGCAAATCTGTGCGAAGTATGAACTACTGGTGCAACTTCTCCGTAAGTTTAAAGTTCTATTTAAAAAAAAAAAAGAGGTTGTTTCCTGAAAGTCAATCACAGATCATTTAGATCTGTAACTACTGCATCTAACATAGTACCTGACTCATTCAAAGTGCTCAAAAACATTGCAGTGGCTTTTAAATGAGCCTGTGGACTTTGGTGTATGGGGCTTCATGACTATTTAACTGCAAGAAAATTTGAAATTCTTTTTTTCTACCTGAATATAAATTATGTACTTTCAGACATGTTATCTAATCCTCATATCCACAAAGGATGTCAACAATATTTTTTTTTTTTTAAGAGGGAAAGGGACGAGAGCAGGGAAACAGAGGAAAAGGAAATCCTATTACTTCATCATTGCACAAGTGATACTGATGCTGGACTAAGTATTTTTTTTTATTTTTTAAAGATTTATTTATTTACTCATACAAGATCTGGGATGTAAGCCAGAGGTGCTGGGGTGAGAGGACTTACCAGAGACAAAGCAGGGAACAGAACAGGCAGACTGACTGAAATATACTGCTGAGGGCAGCAGCAGGCGAGTCAGGAGATGTCTGCTGCACCATGTGGGTTGCTCTCTGGCCCAGGATCAAACTCCTGCTGCAGCGGCTGCAGATAGCTTCACAGTGCTGTGCTTAACCCCTTGCACCACC